TTATTATTTTCATAAAAATTGAAATTTCTCAAAATTAAAGTATTTGGTAACCATATTTATATGGAAGTTGTGGGGTGCCTAACACCTTCCCCATGCTTAACCGACCCTCCAAACCTAGTTAATTTCTGCGTAGACCTTGGTGATCTATCCCACCTCATTTGGATAGATGGCGACTCCATCCATTTTGGCACGTCAACACTTATCATCATATGAAAGTTAAAGGGCTAAGGACACTTTTCTTATAGGACTTATAGTAGCGTAAATGAAATTTCAGAAACTTGATTTTTTTTTTTTGACAAGGGCAATGATTAGTAGATTAGGTTAGTTGTTTGTTAGAAACTAGGGATTCGATCCCTAGATGAGGGTGAGCGCCACCCCTCCTCATTGAGGAGCGCGACTCAATGAGCTGCATAGTGGAGTTCCAGAAACTTGAATTTGTTCCAACGAAACAACATCCTTATATTATGATTAGGTTCCCCAGCTTGTTTTCAAAAAAATGGGATTGAAGTGGGAGAATGTTGGTTGGATTGTATTAAGTTAGTGATTGTAGATTTCATATAGATTTTTTCAAACTCTCTTCTGTTTCTAACATAAATAACCATTACTGCAGGGATTTCTCCCACATTGTTTTTGTCCACTACCCGGAAGTAACAGTTAGAATTTATGATTTATCTATCACTCCTTCCTTTTTTGTTTCATTCAGCCTTCTTCCAAAGTGAACGTATGAAATTTATTTTCTACTGTTTACTTTTAACTTCCTATGGAGATCATGTGGCTAAAGCAGTTTACAGCTTTCCAAAATTGTTGAAGATATCAGTTAACAGGAGTTATGCTTTTTTAATTTGTAACTATTTTTTTTTTCTGCAATTAGTTCTACAAGTTAGCTGCATTAGGAGTAGTTATTTTTATCCTTTATGCAGAAACTATAATGTATAAGTTGCATATATTCAGCAACTCCTTTTGTATGTCAGTTATCAATCTGAAATGAAACAAAGCTCCACATCCGAGAAGCTCATAAAATTCAGATTAGTGTGTTCTTTAGTTTACTGCAGAAATTAACAATTGGTATAAGAGCAAAATCGTCTTGAGGGCCCTGTGAGAGCAAAATAGATTCAGATTCTAGTGAGAGAGAGCAAACACTAGTGCTAGTGAGGGAGAGAAGCTATGTAAACAAAAAACATAGCCATGTCTTCAAACAATTCTTCAACACTTTCTAATCCTCCTATGTTCACGAGAGAAAATTACAGTGTTTGGGTTATCAAAATGAAGGCCTTTCTAAAAGGTAATGGTGTGTTGGAATCTGTAGAAGATGGGTTTTATCCTCCTATGCTGCCAAACAATCCAACTGCAGCCAAAATGAAGCAACATGCTGACTATGTTCAAGCCTTATACAAAGCCCTCTCATATATTCATAGTGCTGTAACAGATGATATTTTCTCAAGGATCATGGTAGCAGAAACAGCACAAGAAGCATGGGATACTTTTAAGAAAGAGTTTGATGGCAGTTCTCGGGTTAAAGGTAACAAGATTGTAACCCTCAAAAGACAATTTGAAATGCTGAAAATGCAGGAGACAGAGACAGTCCATCAATATACAAATAAATTGATGGATGTTGTCAACTGAATTAGACTTCATGGTGAGGAATTTCTAGATCGAAGGGTGGTGGAAAAGATTATTGTTAGTGTACTAGATAAATTTGAGTCTAAGATTTCTGCCATAGAAGAATCTTGTGACCTCAAAGAGCTAACCATCACTAAGCTCATAAGCAAGCTTCAGGCTCATGAGCAAAGGTTGGTTATGAAAACTGATGAAACTACAAAAGGTGCCTTCCTAGCAAGGCAAAAAGGAAAACAACCAACCACTAGTTCTGAAAGCAATAAGACCAATGGTTCTAACCAAGCATATCAGCAACGTCAACAAAGCAGAAAAGGGAGGTTTCCTCCATGTTATTGCAGAAAATCAAACCATGAAGAAAAAGATTGTTGGTTCAAAGGCAAATCACAGATTCAATGCAGATTTTGTAAAAAATATGGCCATATTGAGAAGAATTGTAGGGCTAAGCAACAGCGACAACATCAAACACAACATCAACAAGCTTAGTACAGACCAAAGCAACAACAGCAAGTTAATTATGCTGAAGATTAGTGCAAGGAGGACTGCTTGTTCACAGTGTCTCAAGGTTCATCTCTGCCATCTAGTACTTGGTTTGTTGACAGTGGATGCACTAATCATATGGCTCGAGATGAAAGTTTCTTCATTGAAATGGACAAATCAGTTATTACAAATGTCAAGTTAGGAAATGGTACTGTGGTGAGATCACAAGGGAAAGATACTACTGTTATTCAAAGTAAAACAGGTACAAAGCAAATTACTGATGTCCTGTTTATTCCTAGTTTGAGCCAGAATTTACTTTCTGTTGCACAAATGATGAAAAGGGATACACTATCTTTTGTGCATGATTCATGTTTTATTTATGACCCTACTGGTGATGAGATAGCTAGGGTGAAAATGGTAGAAAACATCTTTCCTTTGGATTTGGAAAATGTGCAGCATTGTTTTTCTGCTTCTAAAACTGTGGGTGCAAATTTATGGCATAAAAGATATGGTCATTTCAATGTCAAAGGATTGAAATATATGTAAACACATGAGTTTGTTTGAGATTTTCCAGAATTGCATTTAACAGACAATGTTTGTGAAAGTTGTCAATTAGGCAAGATGCATAAATTGCCTTTTCCTGTGAATAAATCCTTGAGAGCAACTCAGAAGCTTGAACTGGTGCATACAGATATTTGTGGCCCTATGAGAACACCATCTCTCAGCCAAAACAGATATTTCATCCTCTTTATAGATGACTTTACAAGAATAACATGGGTATACTTTCTTGGTAGCAAAGGTCAAGCCTTACCTGTGTTCAAAAACTTCAAGGCTTTGGTTGAAAACCAAAGTGGATGCAGAATTAAAAAGCTTAGATCAGATAATGGCAAGGAGTATACCTTCAATAATTTCAACTTGTTTTGTGAAGAAGCTGGTGTTGATCATCAATTAACAGTGTCTTATACCCCACAACAGAATGGCATTGCAGAGAGGAAAAATATAACCGTTATGGAGATGGCAAGGTGCATGTTAGCAGAGAAGAAATTGCCCAAATCTTTTTGGGCTGAAGCAGTTTATACAGCAGTCTATCTCTTAAATGGTTTACCAACAAAGGTGATAAAAGGCATGACACTTATTGAGGCTTGGTATGGTCAAAAACCATCTGCTAATCATTTGAAGGTTTTTGGCTCAATTTGTTATAATCATGTTCCAGCAACTAAAAGAGGAAAATTAGATGAGAAGGTGGAAATTGGGATCTTTATAGGCTATGCAACACAAGCAGAAGGCTATAAGGTGTATGATCCTATATCCAAGAAGGTGAATGTGCATAAAGATGTTGCTTTTGATGAGAGTGCACACTGGAATTGGGATGCAGGGAAGATAGAAAAAGGTTCAAATAAGCAATGTGAAGTTGGTTCAGATGTTGCTTCCAGTTCTGAAATTGCAGAAGTTGATGATGATTCATCGGTTTTGAAAACCAAGTCACTAACTGATATTTATGCAAGATGTAATTTAGCTACTGCAGAACCTAATTGTTTTGAAGAAGCAGCTAAACAACAGGTTTGGATTGATGCCATGAAGGAGGAGTTGTCTATGATCGAAAAAAATCAAACTTGGTGTCTTGTTCCAAAACCATATGATAAGAAGCCTATTGGAGTGAAGTGGGTGTTTTGAACTAAGCTAAATCCAAATGGGTCTATACACAAACATAAGGCCAGACTTGTTGTGAAGGGGTATGCTCAACAGCCGGGAGTCGATTATGGAGAGACTTATGCTCCGGTGGCCAGACATGATATAGTAAGGCTTCTAATTGCATTAGCTGCTAATTTGTGTTGGAAGTTGTTTCATATGGATGTAAAATTAGCTTTCCTTAATGGTGTTTTGCAAGAGGAAATTTATGTTGAACAACCACCTAGGTTTGAGATTACAGGGAAGGAAGATTGTGTTTATAAGCTTAACAAGGCTTTGTATGGTCTAAAATAGGCGCCAAGGGCTTGGTATTGCAGAATTGATCACTACTTGATGAGTCAAGGCTTCAGGAGGAGCACAGAAGAAGAAACTTTGTATGTGAAAGGAAGCAGCAGTGAATCACAACTTATTTTGTCACTTTATGTGGATGACTTATTGTTAACCGGAAATGATTTGAAGTTGTTGGAACAATTCAAGAAGGTTATGATGCAAGAGTTAGCAATGACAGATTTGGGAGAGACAGTATTTTCTGGGACTTGAAGTTCAACAATTAAGCAAGGGAATTTTTATTTGCCAGAGAAAGTATGCACTGGATATCTTGAAGAAGTTTGAAATGGAGAACTGCAAACCAGTTTCCACTCCACTGGTTCAAAATGAAAGGCTTTCCAGGGATGATCAAGAAACCAAGGTTGATTCCTCTTACTATCGCAGTTTAATTGGTAGCCTGCTTTATTTAATTGCTACAAGACCTGATTTGATGTTTGCAGCAAGCTATTTGTCAAGGTTTATGTCAGCTCCTAGTAAACTTCATTTAGTTGCAGCCAAGAGAGTTCTTAGGTACATCAAAGGAACCTATGAACTTGGCTTGTGGTTTGACAGTAATCAACAAGGAAGGTTATAGAGGTATGCTGATAGTGATTGGGCAAGTTCTATGGAGGATATGATAAGCACAACAGGTTATGTTTTCTCATTTAGTTCAGGGAGTTTCTTTGGGAATTCAAAGAAGCAAGATGTTGTAGCTCAGTCCACAGCTAAGGTCGAATATTTAGCAGCTGGAGTAGTAGCGAATCATGCTATTTGGCTTAGAATGGTGCTTGAAGAACTTGGTTTTAATCAAATTGAGTCTTGTGTACTCAAAGTAGATAACATGTCAGCAATTGCTATTGCTCAAAATCCAGTGCAGCATGGTAGGACCGAACACATCAAGATTAAATACCATGTTATCAGAAATGATGTTGGGGACAAAGAGATTGTTTTGCAACATTGTGATTATGAAGTTCAAGTCGCAGATATTCTGACTAAAGCTCTTCCGAGGCAGAAATTTGAAGAGTTCAGAGATATGCTTGGAGTTACAAATATAAAAGCAAGGAGGAGTGTTGAAGATATCAGTTAACAGCAGTTATGCTTTTTTAATTTGTAACTTTTTTTTTTTTGTTTTCTGCAATTAGTTCTACAAGTTAGCTGCATTAGGAGTAGTTATTTTTATCCTTTATGCAGAAACTGTAATGTATAAGTTGCATATATTCAGCAACTCCTTTTGTATGTCAGTTATCAATCTGAAATGAAACAGAGCTCCACATCCGAGAAGCTCATAAAATCCAGATTAGTGTGTTCTTTAGTTTACTGCAGAAATTAACAAGAATAAACTGCAAATTTTGAAGTTAAATTAAGCCAAATTTATAGGAGTATGCTGATAAACTATCAGGCTGTTGATGTTGGATCTAAGTCTAAAGTCTACTATCCTTAACTCCATAAATTAATAGAGCTTTATCCCATCTGGGTATGTGAACTAATTTAATTCCTGGATTCCAACCAGGTATGTCTTTACGCCCTTTTTCTTGATCTTGGCGTTATGTCTTTCAATTCTGCAATCCTTTTCTGTCCTCAGTTTCATTTTTTTATTTTTTCTTCTTTTTGGTAGAAATGTCCTTAGTTTCATTTTTTCTTTACTCTTTTCAGTGGCCTTACCCGAAATCATCTTACTGCTGGATGTTGAGTTGTCCTGTGAAGACAATAGATGATTTCATAGGGGTGATAAGATGTTGTAATTTGTCATTTGCCTGAATTATACAATGTTTTTCCTCTCCATATTTTGCCTTGGTCCCTTTTTTTTTTTCCTTGAAGGGAAGCAACCTTACTCGTTTACAACACAGCCTACTAAGGACGTCAAACTTACATCTAGAATCTTCAATGCCTTTGCTACTAGAGAAGCTAGTTATAGGACATATGTTACGATACATTTCTGGATGGTGGACTGGGTGTTCACATAGTAAAATTTGGATCCTATACTTTTTGTAATCTTTGCTCTCGTCAATAAGATGCCTGGAACAGTTTCATCATAGACCTCTTTTTTCTTATATTCTCTTTCTGATTGTATTAGGGAAAAACAGATGACTTTAGTTGTGTTAAAGAGACTCAAGTAGAAGGTCCATATTCCCAAGAAACCAAAGATATTATGCCCAATTCTCAGATTGACAGTTCTTTGCGTTCCAGTTCTCATCTAAATAATTGCCGTGTAACTGAAAATACTGATACAACGAGGCTGAATTGTGTACAGGCATTGGAACATGAAAGTGCTCCGTCAGGTGGACCTTTTTTAGTTTCAATATGTCTAGGTTTTCCAGGACATCATAGAAAATGTGACATAGTTTTCTGGATGAATGCATTAATGTTTTTCATATTCACTAATGAGTTTGGCAGTTGATATAGACTACAATCACCAACCAAGTTCTGGATTGCACTCGGGTCTTGAACTGCTACAGTGTGCTGCAGAAAACATTGATGCCAGATGCTCTGATCCTTATGGTCCTCTGTTTTCTCTAAGTAAAACAGTTATTTATGCTATTTTATTGTTTTGAGTTAAAGTTTGCTTTTTCATCTTTCACTAATTCTTATTACTTTTTACTCTGAACAGATAGTTTTTATGATATTTTGTCAGCCATTCCTTGCATAGATTTGCCCCCCACTCAACTAGACAAGGGCAAAAGTGATCATGATGCTGAATTAGCCCATGACCCCTGGAGAAACTTTGATTCTGTGTCATGGAAAGATATCTTGGATGGTTGTACTGAGTCCATTAAGGATCAATCGTTGTTTTCCCCCTCACATCCTGATATCAAGGGTAAGTTTCCGTTGTTGAAAGCCTGGAATTTGGTGTGCATTCGCAGATTCAAAAAGAATCTGAGGTACTGACTGAGTAACAATGCTAAAGTTCTGGTTCATATATCATAATATATATCTAGCATTTTGCTTCTAGTTTAATCACGTGGTTTAGTCTTTAATATGAATTCCAAACAGGCTTCAGTTGAGGATTCTTCGTCTTTATCTAAGCAGCCAATGGATCAGAAGTTACCTTCAGACTCAGCATGTGATACAACTTCTAAATTTCATAAGGAAGAAGTTAATCACCTTGAATTAATGAATTCTATTGACCCTCAGCTGAAACAACCAGATATAAGAAATGATAATTTAATGGAAAATTGCTTTCAGACACTGCTATCTAATGAAGAACACAATTATGCTCTACCACCAAATCCAGATGGCTGGTTCAACTTGGAGGGACAATCAATCCACTCTTCTGATAGAGAGCATTTATTTGATGGTATTTTAGCAGAACAAGGTTCAAAGAAGAGGTCCAGTTCTGGGGACAATGGGGAAACAGGTGAGAATGAAAATGAGAATGATGTTTCAAACATTCCCTCTGAAGGAAATTGGATATCCAAGATATAAATGCTGCTGAAAACTATAGTGACAGTGCTGAAGCAAATTTTCTTCCGCGTTTTGTTAAAATACTGTGGTTAGGCTCCAGTGCCACTAATCCTGTCACCAGCAGCTTAGAGGATGCACCCCAGTTGAGCAGTAAAATCAGTTCATTGCTAAAAGGGAACAACAAAGAATTGGACCAGATGAAGACAGGTTCAGGAACAAAATTTTCCTTAGTAAAGTTAAAGGACCAGCTGCTTCAGAAGCATCTGAAAGAGAAGTTGCGTGAATGGATCTTACAGAAGGATGCTGAAGCTAGTGATGACCCTAGTATATTGGATGAGGATGGACAAGGTTTTCTACATTTGGCAGCTGCACTCGCTATGATTGGGCTTTGGAGCCTACTATAGTTGCTGGTGTAATTGTTGATTTCCGTGATGTGAATGGATGGACTGCACTTCACCGGGCAGCATTTTGTGGCAGGTGAACACCTCTACAATTCTTTTGAATATTTCTTTAAGGTTTCCTTTTCCTCTGTTTTTTTATCTTTTTCCCTTTTCGAGTACTTTGCCGTTGTCCACAAGAGAAGATCCAAAGAAGACTAAAGTAATGGCTCTATAGGTTAGCAAATGCTCCATATCGAGGAAACTATATATTTCTCAAGTTTCATATTCAAAAATATGTGAAAAATACTGTCTCGTCTGACATTTTATGCTTAGCCTTTGTATTATTTACTCAATTATTTCTGACCCATTCATCTTTTATGTGTTGCTTCTATTAACGTAGACTTCTTCAACTTCAGAGAAAAGGCAGTGGCTTCCCTGTTGGAACTTAAATATTTTAATAAAAAATAAAATAATATATTTTATAAATTAAATTTATTATCTCATTAAAGACTTTGTCAAACTAGCCGTTGGAGGTTAATTGTCCTATTTAAGAGCACATTATTTCATAATAATTGCCCAATTTATTCATATCATTAACCTACAAATGGGAGTTACAAGACCATGAGTCTATAAATAAGACATGTCTTTTGCTCAAAAATGGGTTGTTCACACATTTCTCTATTCTTTCTTACCTCCCTTTATTTTCTAAATATTTTTGGTTAAAGAAGGGTGTTTTGAGTAAGGTGACTCTATGGATAGTGCAGATCCATAGAGTGTTATTATAAAGCTGTAGTATCCTGGGGGCGACATGCTTTATGTATCTCTGCTGCACCGGTTGATTTATTCTCTGTAGAGGCGTGAATCGCCTTAAAGTAAGTAAGCTTTTCATGCCTATTTAGATGATATTTTCTTATTAATATTTCTTGATAAGTTCACTAATTATTTTATTTGATCTTGTGACCGAGGCACAACAATGACATGATGTGGAGATGGAGAAAAGTGTTCAAGGAACAACAATTTTAAAGCGATTCAATATGCAAAGCAAGATTGAAACATATGCCACATTGTGTAAGCAAGATATTATTTGTTTTAGGTGACTTAAAACAGGTATGAGGTCTTGGATCCTAATCTAATTATTAGGCCATGCTTTAATGGTATGCTATTTATTTTTGCTTTAGTATTAATGGCACGTGGACGGTAAAAAGACAAAAAAAAAAAAAAAAAAGAAAAAATTGGTGCATGGTTGATCACTATCATATGTTGCTCTTGCAAATGAATATACATATTTTTATCATGACATGTTGGAACTTAATGATATTATTAATTTGTTTAATCTCCAACGGCTTGAAATATCATAAAAGAGAATTGTTAGTATGAATGTATTGTTTATAAGACCAACCGTTTGCTCTTAATGCATGCATATTAATGCGGTAGTTTTCCCATAATATTGAGTATTATGGTAGTAGCCGTTTGAATTAAATGGAATCATGGGTAGAGCATATATTTTAACATGAAATTATGGATATAAAAGCTCTACTAATTGGAAGTGCTTTTAATTGTGTAATTTATGAGCTTTAATATGCTCCATTGATACATAATTAATTGGTGATTATTATTTTTTAGTGAAAAAAAAAAAGATGAATAAATATGTGTATTTAATTGACAATGTTATCGAGTTATTTGGTGAAACAAGTGAAATGTTGAGAATTAGAGAGCCACTCGATTTGGTCCATCTAATTTTTTTGGTAAAAAATGGACATGAAATTTCGGTTAGTTTATTCCAGAAATGTAAGCTAAAATTTTAAGCTTGCATAACCGAGGAGCCATTTATGGCGATAAAAAGTGAGATGAGCAAATATGCTCTGATAAAAATCTTGTGAGCAAAATGAGTTTCTTCATGAACACAATTATTTGAGAAATGTGATAATCACATATTTGAGATGCTCCCAATGTGAGGGATTGTGATATCCCTATATATTATTATTGGTGATGAGACCAATGATGCCTAATTGAGATTTTGCATAGCATTCCTATTATACAATAAGGTGTAATGGTGCTTAAGAAAGCAAATGTGATATGCACTCCTATTATACAATAAGGTATAATGGTGCTTAACAAAATAAATGTGATATGCATTCCTATTATACAATTATGATATAATGGTGTATGATGAAAAAATAATAAGGCACTTGAGAAAAGGGGTATGTGATGGACATTCCTATTGCACAACAAGGTACAATGGTGTTTGAGTTAAAAATTCTTAGATACATGTTTTGACATGTATGGAAAGAAAATAGTGGTTCACTAGCTCAATTTGTTATAAAAAAAAAAAAATTGTGGTACCATGTATTGAAAATTTGAGAAAAATGAATGTGAATTTTATGAGTCAGTAGACATGTGGGTTGATGTGAAAAAGTGAGAAAAAGAATGAGTTGAATCTCTTTTAACCCACTATACCACCAACTTAGCCTTTGGCAAAAACAAAAGTTGGAGGAAAATCTATGATCATAGTCCAAGGTCTACTGCTCATCGACAAAAATGGGATTCAAGCCCAATAATGTAGAACTTCCTATGAGGATACCCAACCCGAATTCTAAGAATTGGGTTTCGAATGGGAAAAACGAATCATAGAGAAGTTGTTGTTGAAAGATGCATCAATATTTAACGAAAAAAAAAATTTCGGTCCCATTCCTAAGGTGAGGATGCATCTATCCCATAATGAATTGAGGGTTGAGTTTTACACTTTTAATGAAATTTGTAGCTCATAGAGTGGGGTGTCTTAATTATGGGAGCACCCTTGACAAATTTCACCTATGTGGGTGTCGAAGTGAGGCCGTTTCTATGAAAATTGGATGGGCAATTTTCTAGATCACCCATAAAAACCGGGATCATGCGCAAGGCCGTAATGCGCTAGTTATGTGAAAAAACTCAACATTCGGATCATTATGTGTGTGATACAATTCTTGTATCTTTCTATTGGGTAATAGTTCAAGACTTAGTTCACTATTGACTTTGGATTAAGAATTGTTGATTCACTAAGGTTCAAGGTTTAACTACCTTTACTATGCATAATAATCCATCTTTGCCCAAAGAAAGGTTTATTTTTTATTAAAATAGTGGGGGAATTGTTGGAACTTAAATATTTTAATAAAAAATAAAATAATATATTTTATAAATTGAATTTATTGTCCCATTAAGGACTTTGTCAAACTAGCTGTTGGAGGTTAATTGTCCTATTTAAGGGCACATTATTTAATAATAATTGCCCAATTTATTCATACCATTAACCTACAAATGAGAGTTACAAGACCATTAGTCCTATAAATAGGACATGTCTTTTGCTCAAAAAATGGGTTGTTCACACATTCCTCTATTCTTTCTTACCTCCTTTTATTTTCTAAATATTTTTGGTTAAAGAAGGGTGTTTTGAGTAAGGTGACTCTATGGATATTGCAGATCCATAGAGTGTTATTATAAAGCTGTAGTATCCTGGGGGCGACATGCTTTTTGTATCTCTGCTGCACCGGTTGATCTATTCTCCGTAGAGGCGTGAATCGCCTTAAAGTAAGTAAGCTTTTCACGCCTATTTAGATGATATTTTCTTATCAATATTTCTTGATAAGTTCACTAATTATTATTTTATTTGATCTTGTGACCGAGGCACAACAATGACCTGATGTGGAGATGGAGGAAAGTGTTCAAGGAACAACATTCCCTCATTTCGTTAGGCGCAGCTCCTGGAGCATTGACAGATCAATCACCTGAATATCCCTCAGGCAGGACTCCTGCTGATCTGGCGTTTGTCAATGGACATAAAGGAATTGCTGGATACCTTGCAGATCGCTTTTTGGATATCCACATTTCATCCATTAATTTGGATCACCAAGATGATGCTGCAGGACGAAAAGCAGTCCAGAAAATTTCAGAAACAAGTGCAGCACCACTTAGCTTAAGGAATGCATCAGGTTGCCAGTAACGAAAGAACTTACCAGCCTTCAGATTTTCTTCTCTTGAACATGATTTAGAGTTGGAAAACCCTCAGCTAGCCTTCCAGGAATGCTATTATCTCAGTGGTTTGTTTCTTTTAAATTTTAATATCTCCCGTTTTACCTTATTTTTTAAATATCAAATTTAAGTAATTTTTAGCCCATGCTTCCCTTTTTAAAATATATAATCCCATCCTGCAGAAGCGTTTTTAGCTTTCTAGCCCTTTTTAGAGAAAGGTCTTGTGTTAAATTTTTTTTTTATTATTTTTGGCTGTTAGACTTTGTAATTAGTGATTGTGTTAATTATGACAAATTAGAATCTGCAAAAATTAAAATCTTATTCATAGAAATAATTTATTTATTAATTATTTTTTGGATTCTGTTTTTATTTTCTTATCTTTCTCATGAATTTGAATAATTCTGAAAAAAATGGTATGCCCCTTGTTAATTGTCAGGAGCCACTCTGATGTTAGCAAACCTTATTCTTCAAGCAAGCGTGATGGCTTGATCCTTTTCTATACAGCCTCTTAATCCTAAATAAACCTTTGTCATGCATTTATATTAAGTTGGCGTGACAGAGACTTGATTCCAAATCGATGGGTGTCATGCCTTTTGTTTATTGCTTTTGGATTGGTTTTGCTAAAGAATGGAAAAAAAATTTCATAATTTTATTTTCCCCATTTTCCTGTTTTTTGGTTAGCAGGTAGAGGTCGGCTTAGCAGGTAGAGGTCGGCCAAATCTGGGTAAGGAACTGGAAGAGGAGAAAGAAGAGGACAAGGGGCCGGAGGATGAGGGGCCAGAGGGCAATGGGCAGAAGGACGAGGAACCGGAGAAGGAGAAAGAAGAGGGAAAGAAACGAGCACCAGACTCTGCTCTGGAGAGTGGAAAGGCAAACAAGATTTTGAAGGCATATTTAGCATACATGGCTCTGTTGACCGCATATTACAATGTTCAAAGCATGGTGACAAATCCAAATGCTTGTGTTGGTATTTTTTAAGGCTTCTAAAAACACTGGAGAAAGAAAGCTTTCTTACATTGTCGATGGATTTAAACTGTCAGCGATTCCCGTGTTGGGGGGAAAACACCGGTGGAATTATGTGTGTTTCTGTATATGTTGGTTTTATCTCCATTTGATATATTTGAGCAGGAGTGATGTTGATGTAGGAGTAGGACAGTGGGCTTTGGAGGGAATTTTAGGGATGAATTTAGGGTTTACTTTGTGGTTAGAGGGGTTATTCAAACCGCCAAGGTACGAGTGTCTAATACAATTTTTTTACATAATGCTTTGAGATTCCTGGTAGTTGGTTGCTAAGTGAATTTTTTTAGTGGATTGAAAATTTTTAATTTGGTTTACAAATTTATTGGCGAAAATCCATGGTTAGCACTCTACTTTATTGACTAGAAAAGTTTCAATTTCTCACCTAATAATATGAAAATTTTAATTCCTCATTTTTTTATCCAAATAAAAACATCCAAAATTAACAGCAAACTCACTTGCCCCGCTAACTTTTTGTCATCTATGGCCATGTCAGTGCCAACGTGGCTTTTTATTGCCATGCTAGACCGCCATGGTGGCAATAATGATAAGGGCGGGAGTTTTCCCGTGTATTCGCATGGTGACAATAATAATATAAAAATTAAAAATAAAAATGTCAAAGTTTTGATCTTAATATAAAAATAAAATGATGAATTATAAATATTTAATTTTATATGATTAGTTATCTTTTTTGTTGATGTAAATATAATTTTACACTAGATATAAACAACTTTATACTAAATATAAATGTATATTATTATTAAATAAGTAATATAATAATAAAATAAATATCGATTTATAAAAATTAAAAAAATTCTAGTTAAGTATCAATGTTAAGTTAATTTTGATTTTATTTAATAATTTTGAAATTAAAATAAGAATTTTTAATTTTAAAAAATAAAAATCTAATAATAAATATAAGAATATTAAACATCATAGAAATATTAACACTGGACGTGATTAACGCATGGTGTTGACACCACGAATTACATGTCAATACTACACCCGTGTCGAATTTTTGATCCTTTTTTGCAATTTCTTCAATGGTAACATAGCAGTTCTGGTCCTCCATTTTATTACAATGAGCACTTTGATCCCATAACTTAAGATTCATTTATTTAGGTCCCAAAAAGGCACCTTTTTTCTTGCAATTTAATCCCTCAACTTTAAAAAGATATTCAATTAATCTCAAAACCTCCTATTATTATGCATTCGCTAAACTAAAACTTCATATTAAAAGACTTGTAAACAAAAATGTATATAATTTAGACTTATCATTTGTTTTATATACAATACCTACAAAGTTTATTTCATTCTATTTCAATTAGCTTGATGAATATGATACAAGAGACTAATAAATGAAAATGGTGCAAAAAAGAAAAATATCCAAAATTAAATTTGCAAAACTTAAAAAGAAAAAAAAAAGAAGTTTACATAACTTTTATATTTCATACCAAATAAATATAAAAGTTCATACACATTTTGACATGATTATATAACCTTAATAGACAACTAAATGTCTATTAAAACTCCACATGAAAGTCAGTGGCATCATACATGGCTTTCACATTAAACCAACAGCATCAAAATGACAAAAACTCCGCACTAATCACTGAAGGCAGCATACATGGCTTTAAGCAAATAACCAACTCGATCAAAATAACATAAAAACATTAATCAAATGCATTGTTTCTTCTTGTATTGTCCTTGCTCTTGTATTTCTGGTGTCATTGGCTTTTTTTCCCTTGTCTTTACTCTTACTAGAAGACCTTGCCTCTTGTGACATAAAAAAAAAAAAATCATCATCAAAATTAATACTCTCACTCCAGCCACAAGAAAGAGGTCTCCTAGCTATATAATAAAAATAACTTAGCTTATACTTATGGTAAGAGAAATAACTAAGCAATAAAAACAAAAATAAAAATCTCACTTACAATGTCATCATTTATTGTCCTTTCCATGCACGTAGTCCTAGTGTGCCCTTGCTGTCCGCAAAAACCACATGTAGGAGGCCTTTTAGCTCTTGGCTCCACATTGTTTTCTTTTATAGTTCCTGTGTTAATTTAGCTGGAGCCATAACTTAGCCATTGAATTAAAATAACAAAATAAATGCATTAATGGTATGATACATGATGAAAGAAAGAAAATGTATATTTAAAGTGTGCTTAATCATTAACATTTGTGGAATTATGAGTTTAAGAGTTTTATTTTTTACAAGTAATTTCATAAGTGTTCATTATATTCATGTTGAGCAAATCTTGTGGTGATTAAAGGTTTGATGATTAAACAGAGAGAATTAGAAGAAAAGGATTTGAATGCAAAGAGCTGGAAAGATGAGGATCCAAGGAGTAAATTTGGAAGTTTGAAGGCCCAAGTTGGGTTTCCCCATTTTTTGTTAAGAGCAAAATTCGTGAAGCATGCTTTCACCAACGCAAACGGGAACCAGAAACATCAGGGGTTCCGCACCCTAAAGCAGGTTCCAACCCTTGGTCAATGCGGCACAAAAACAGAATTATGCAGGGTTTCGCACCCTGACTGCGGTTCCAACCCCTATCTGACCAATTGTGTGGGAAGAAAGAAAAAATAAAATTAATTCCCCAGGGCTGCTACCCTAATTACCAAACACTTCTATTTTATTCTTAACATAAATAGAAGCTTTGAAAACTAGGTTTAGCATCTAGAGAAACAGTTCCTAAGCTTCTATTTTTCTTCTTCTCCAAGGCTAGAGAATTATGTCAAAAGGCAACTAAACTTTCAACAAAACTAGAGAGGATCTTGATTGAGAAATTTGATTTATTATTTTATTTTGATTCCTTCATAGATTTTATTATTTAATTTTATTTTTGAGAGATTATTAATTATTTTCATATTTGAAAACCCTAAAAATTATATTCATAAAATTTTATATAAGATTAGTCATGTTCTTTTTATGTGTAATTTGTTATAATATAATTGATTGATAGATTTGTTTTGCGGGTTGATCCTTTACTGTAATATTGTCAATTAGATATGTTGTCGCTCTCGGATAGCTCGTAATGATAAATCAATTTGTTCTTCATTGAAATTAATTTCTCTCAAAATAAATACATTAATTATTATTATTGATCTTCACAGTTAAATCTTCCGATTATTTATTTGGGATGTGAAATATGCAATTGAGTAATAAATAAGAGTCAAATTTTATAACAGTTAAACAAATCAATTAAGTGAATCTTGAAGTCTCGTTCATCATAATATTGTTTTCAATCTTTTATAATTATCATCTTTTATTTAAATATTTTTATTCTTAATTTTAGAACTCATCTTTTAATTTAATTTTTCATTGTGACAATTCTTTTTATTGATTTAATATAGTTTCCCTGTGGATTCGACACCTAAAGCTACATTACAACGACCGCTTAGCCGAAGGGTATTAATTTTGGGGCGACATAAAAAATTTGGTGCCGTTGCAGGGAAAGCCAGATTGACAATTAGAGTTTGAACATTCTTCACTTTTTATTTATTTATTTTATTTTCTTTTCTTTAGTTTATTTTACTTTCTTGCTTTTATTTTATTTTCTTCATTCAAAAAAAAAAAAGTAGATTAGAGTGTATGAATAGACTGAGAGACGAAAAAGGGAGATTTATTAAATTAGATCTTCTACCCTTTCAAAAAGAAGAAGTCGAGTCTAATTCATCCTTTAATTCTGAAACCATGAGTCAAGACAGGGATCAACCTATTAGGACTTTGAAAGACTACTTGCACCCCACTAGAATAGCTACACCATCATGCATAATGTTTCCTCCTAATACACCACACTTTGAGTTCAAACTTGTAATGATTCAGCTTTTGCCTACTTTCCATGGTTTAGAGAATGAAAATCCATATGTGCATGTTAGGGAATTTGAGGAGGTAGTAGCTAATTTTCATAGTCGAGTTGACACTATAGACACAGTTAGGTTGAAATTCCTTTCCTTCTCCTTGAAAGACAAAGCTAAAATTTGGTTATATTCTTTGAGACCTAGATCTATAGGTAGATGGGCAAAGATGACTAAGCTTTCTTTAACAAGTACTTTCCGCACCATAAAACTAATAAGTTTAAAAGACACATCTCCACATTTTCTCAAAAGGATAGTGAAACCTTATACCAAGCATGGGAGAGGTTTAAAGAATTATAAAACTTGTGTCCACATCATGGGTATGAAACTTGGAGGTTGGTTAATTATTTCTATGAGGGTTTAACTAGTAGGGAGCGTCAATTCATAGAGATGATGTGTAATGGGGAGTTTTTGCATAAGGACCCAGAAGAAGCCATAGATTATTTAAATGAGTTAGTTGAAAAAGCTCACACTTGGACAGGACCTAGTGCCACTAATAGTGCTAGTAGGTCACGATCATCTGGGATTTACCACCTTAGGGAGGAAGATAACCTTAAAGCCCAATTAGAAGTTGCAACTAGGGAACTTGAGACCTTAACAATGAAAAATAGAGTCACCCACACAGTTGCTAGGGTAGAAGCTCAGGCTCCATGTTTTGTTTGTGGAGGATTGGATCATTTAGCTCAAGATTGCCTAACTTATGGTGAGATGAGAGGGGTGTATGAAGAACAATGCAATGCATTAGGAATGGGTAGGGAACTTTTTTCACCCTATTCAGAGACATACAATCCTAGTTGGAGGAACCATCCCAATTTTAGTTGGAAGGCTAATCAGAACCATCCCACATCATCTAGCAATACTTGGAATAGTGAAGCTCAACCACTTAGGTCTTACCCTGCACCTCAATATAACACTACTGTAGGGAATCAATATTCAAACCAAAAATTTGGTCCAGATAACCCAAAAATCGGTTTGAAAAATAATATCCAGATCGATATCGGTCCGTATACTTGAACCGAAGAAACATGGTATGAAAAAACAAAATATATGGACCGACAAAAAATTGGTTTGTAAATTAAACTATTTAGATCGCAACCGAACCGTATACTTTGGTAAAAAAATGAAGGGGTGATTATAAAATTAAAATTTACAGACCAAAAACGGTCCGGATATTAAGAATACAATAAATAATTTCATAATTACAGACTGCAAATGATTTGAATAATCAGGGAAAATAATTACAAAAAATATATTTAGACCAATTTCGGTCTGAATATGAAGGACTCAATTGAAACTCCTACAAATTGTGCTACTAATTTGTATGTTTATTATACATATTCAGACCGTTTTCGGTCCGTATATATTGGACTAAGAAGTAAATTTTGAAATATTTGCTGCCATATTGTCGTGACATCGAAACTATAGCGAGACCGTTTTCGATCCGTAAATATTGGACTCAGATGTAAATTCTGAAATATTTACTGTCATACTGTCATGACATCAAAACTATATCTGGACCGTTTTTGGTCCATATATATTGGACTTAGATGTAAATTCTGAAATATTTGCTATCATATTGTTGTGACATCGAAACTATATCCGGACCATTTTCGGTCCATAATTAAAGTTAAAACAAATAAAAAAAAGAATAAAAGAAGATTATTATTAAATGAAATAAAATATATTTATTTTTCTTGTTATTTACAGAATATTCCAAAATGCAAATTATATTTTACTAATGAAATATTAAATATCTCTATGAAATTTAAATATATGTATATATGGAGAAATTAATTTTATACTAATTATTTAATATAGTAAATTAAAACATATATAATATTAATTACATTATATTCAAATTATAAAAAAAATTTTAAGTAAAATATAATATTGGTAAGTTTAAAAATATCAACAATAGTAATTATAAATATAAATAAATAAT